CTACCTACCTACTACTACTCTCTCTCTCTCTCTCTCTCTCTCTCTCTCTCTCTCTCTCTCTCTCTCTCTCTCTCTCTCTCTCTCTCTCTCTCTCTCCGCCCCCACACTTGCTCGCTGCACCCAAACCTCTCTCTTTCTTGCTCTACCCCCCAACTCTCTCTCCCGCCCTCATGCTCTATGCTGATGGCACAATTACTCTCACAGCACACTTGTGAGAAGAACAAAGGCCTGGTTCGGTGTCGTTGTGAGAATGCAGCCACTTTGGGTGAGAGGAAAAATGTCAATTTACCGGGTGTTATCATAGCCCCACTCTCACAGAGAACGACAAAGAGGATATCTTGAATTGGGGTGTCCCCAACAATATTGACATGGTTGCTTTATCATTTGTGCACAAAGGTAGGAAAGCATGCCAAGTCCATCCTGCTATATTCAAAGGTACGGTGTTTCGATTCTGGGTTTTCACATAAGGAGTGCTTCCATCCATTTGCTCTTCTCACTCTTGCAAACTCAGATGCATTCATGGTGGCAAGAGGATACTAAGGTATGGAAATTCCCATTGAAAAGATCTTCCTAGCCCAGAAGGTGATGATATACAAGTGCAAAATCAAAGGAAAGCCTTTCCTTTAACCCATGAGGTTGGGGGCAGAGAGAGGTTGGAGGCAGAGAAAGAAAGATGTACTTGAGGGCATACAGGGACAGAGGGATGAGCGCGTGAGAGAGATGTTGGGTCAGAAAGTGAGAGAGAGAGAGAGAGAGGGAGAGATGAGGGCATAAGTGAGAGATGGAGAGTAAAGAGAGAAAGAGATGGGTGGGTGGGTGGGTGGGGGGAGAAGGCGAGTAGGTGAGGACAGAGAGAGAGGGCGGATGAGGGCGTGAGATAGAGAGGTTGGGAACACATACACATACACACACACACACAAAGGTTGGGGGTGCAGAGAGAGAGAGAGAGAGAGAAGGATCAAGGCGTGCGAAAGTTGGGGGCAGAGAGAGAAAGAGACAGGTTGGGAGAAGATGGTAAGAACTTGGGGGCAGAGAGAGAGACCGGGGGGGTGAGGGTGTGTGAGAGAGGTTGGGGGTAGAGAGAGAGAGAGAGAGAGGAGG